AGTATCGTCGCGTGATCCCACCGATCACCGTTCCCGCGATCCATTGCCATTCCCGCGCCGGAATCGCTCGACGTCCGACGAGAATTCCACGGCTACCGATACAGATCTCCGGACAATGTTTTCACAATGAGATAACGTTTATCGGCGCGCAGATGCTATAAATCGAACTCGAACTACTTTCCACCGATCACGTTGGCTCCGAGCACTCTATCGCGTCGCGCGTAATCGGTGGTCCAAAAAATCTCGCGGAAATTACGCTGAAAGCGAGGCGGCGAAACCAGGCCCAGAGTCGTCGTCGGGTTTTCTCGCCGTTACCTCTCTATCCGTCACCGTAAAAATACGACCGGCCGTAAATCTCGAACGGAACGACGATAGAATACGACTCTCGACGATACGCTGCGACAGCTTTCGGGAACTTTCGGACAGCGAGAGAGAGAGAGAGAGAGAGAGAGAGAGAGAGAGAGAGAGAGAAAAAGAGAGAGATCTGCGACCGGATAAACGGCTGGACGCGTTCGAGAAACCTTTGCGATTCATGAGATGCAAACGGGAGAGCAGAATTTTGCTCGCTCGTCGCGTGTCGCGCGGGCCTGAAACGAATCGAGGCGTCGAGGACCGTGCTGATGATTCCCGCGTGTCTCGATCGAGGCGGATCCGCGGCGTTGCTCTTGTAAACACTTTTTTCCGACTCGCCGCGTAAAGCCGACCGAAGACAAGAAGACGACTCTTGCGCTCGACCAAGAAAGAAGAATTGCGCTCGGAGAATAGAAATCGGATTCGCGGCGAGAGGGCGGGTTAAGGAGCGAGCCGCGGTAAGCTTTTATCCCATTGTTTATGCAAAAGCTGCTGGTCCGGGCACGTTCTCCCGACGTTCCGTTTCCCTCGGGTGCCCGGAGCGTAAAATGTGAGAATGGACGGAGGATCGCGCGTCGTGCATTCGCGGAGCGAACTCGTTTCACCCCCCGTTTCAAACCCCTTAGTCGGGATCGTGACTCGATCTTTCGCGGCGACTCGATAACGCGTCGTCGATAAAACGATCGGTAGCCGACTGAAAATACGATGACGTCGTCGCGTAAACAATCCTAATTATAGATAGCGGATAACAATCGAATCCGTCGATGAGCGTCCGTCGGGCGTCGCACAGTGCTCGGTTCATACCCAAAAAGCGGGAAAAAAAGTCGGTTTTAAAAAATACCTCTGTAATGCATAAGTTTGTTCGCCGGTGGTCAATTAAGCATGCTGCTTATATCATTTACTATGATCTATTTTATCGTTTGTTCATTTCGGACACGGCTTGAGGATGGGCTTCAGAGTGGCCCATCTCCGAATCGTCCTAAATTGTGCATCATCGTTTATAATTATTTCGTAATGCACTTGGTTATGTACTTAAATTCTGTCGTAGGACACTTTTTTATCTCCTCGCACTTTTTGGGTTACGTACAATTTTCATTTTATTCTTTAATTATGAGTTGATCGTATTTTGAAGATCGCATTTTCAACGATGACCGCGCTCCGTTGAAACCGACGAGAATAATTATGAATTATTTTCTTTTTTACGATCGTAAGCAGACTTTCACTGGCATCCGGCCCGTCGATGTCGAGCACGAGGAAAAGAACGACGAAGAAAACAAAACCGTTTCTCCCGGAAAGAATCGAACGAACCATCGGTTTCGGAACAATGTCCGTAACATGAAAATATCGTATCGTGGGTGTTCGATTTAATTGAATCGAAAAGAAAAATTGCATTTTAGAAAAAACCTTTTACAAAACAATTAAGACACCGCATTCTCTTTTCATTATTCCATTCCAAGGAAAATCCAAATATTAGGTCTACCGGAAAGTTCTGTCCGATAGTGTCACTTCAAGTTTCAATCCATATGCACATGTTGATTTGAGACATATACGACTATCTCTCTTTATCATTGCATTTACACACATGTACTCTCCTAAATAAACTGAAACAAAGATGTCTCGTGTCATTATTAAGTGAAACGCGATCGTGAAAACATGGCTACCGATGATAATGCCAGATCACATGCTGCTTTGGCGACTCGTCAGAAAATCGCAGAGCTAGGCTGGGAAATTCTGTCGCATCCACCGTACTCCCCAGACCTAGCACCCTCCGATTATCACTTGTTTCTCTCTTTGCAAAACTTTTTACAGGAAAAAAAATTCCAAACTGAAGCTGACGTCAACCAAGCACTAGTCGAGTTCTCCGCCTCTAAAAATAAATCGTTTTCGTAAAAATGGCATTTACAAGTTGCCGTCACGCTGGCAAGAAGTCGTAAGTAACGATGGAAAGTATATTCTACAATAAATATTATTAAATGTATGAAAATTGTGTTATATTTCGTTTCAAAAACGGACAGAACTTTCCGGTAGACCTAATAAAATGAAGAAAAGTGCCCGCTTTTCGTACAGAAACCGATCACTGTGCCGTCGACGCGTCGTCGCGTTCGAAAGATCGGGCACGATAACGCTCGATCGAAAACGCAAGAAGGCAACGCGAGGAGGAGACCTGCCGATCGGTTGATGTAAAAGTCGAACGCGGCCAAAGGGCCGTACGTGCTCGAGCATCGCGAGTCCCGATGCTCGACCTCGATCCTCCATCCTGGCAGAGGTCCCTTCGCCGAGGTGACAGCTTCCACCGCGAGATGAACCGCCGGTAGAACCCTCAGCAAGCTCTGCTCGTGTCGGGGATCGGCCGGCGTGATCACGGCCAGCATCACCGGCTCCCGTTGTTTCGACGATGTCTCCCGCAGCCGCGTCTCGCCGCACTCTTTCAATTCTTTCAACCCTTTCGCGGGTTGTTGTATCGTGCCCGCGCTGCAGCACATGGTGGTCAGGAACAACGTCAGCTTGATAGGAGCGTCGTTGAGGCGGGCCGCGCGCGTAGTGCCCCGTCCAGACGACATGACCGATTTCGCGAGATCGCGTGGTCGGTTCGCGCGCGTCCCGATCGAAGCCGCGGCGTCGTCGTGCGCATTCGACCGTCGATTCACTCGGCCGCGTCTGCCGATTCCCGACGTCTCTTCCTCTCCATCCCGTCCTTCGCGTTTCCCGTTCGACAGGCGACTTCGAAACTCGAACTGTCCCCTCGCCTCCGAGTCAGTTTCAAAGTTCGTTCCCGCCACCGTTACCGGGGTTCGACTGCCGGAGATAAGCTCCGCGTGGAAGCGGATCGGCGCGACGCGGCTCGCGCGGGCGAAGCAAACTTCCACGGGCAGCGCGATCGAAACTGAAGCGACTCGAGCGCGTTCCAGAGACGACGGTCCTCCGGCCGTCGCGGATCGTCCCGTTCCTTTTCCTCTCGCTGATCTCGTCCAGCATCTCTCTTTCTCCGGAACGAAACCGCGGCGCTCGTGCTTGCGCGCTGCCTCGCCTGCCTTGCCTCGTCGCCTCGCCTCGCATTACCGCCTCGCCTCGCCTCGCCTCGCCACGCCGCGATCAGAAAGCTCGCAGGCTGGCAGAGCGACGCGAATGCGAACGCATGCGTCCGATCATCGCGTGGTCCTCCGACCGTGCTCCACCTTGGTCCACCGCGTGTTCGACCTAATAAACTAATCGAGCCGCGGACACGTTAGCCCGTGTGCTATCCTTCGCCCTCGGCTCCCCAGCGACTTCCCACCGATCACGATGTACCGACCGAACCGGGACGAGAGTTCCAGCATATCGACGAGAGATATGCGCGATCTGCTCTCGCCTCCAGTAAAAACCGCGAAGCGTCCGAATTCGAATCCAACGAGCAACGATATCTCGAAGCTTCGAAGCTCGAGATATCGGTGATCGACGATCCGTGAGCCGAGCTTTTATTTTAATTACTATTATGATTACTATTATTATTATTATCATTATTATTATTATTATTACTATTATTATTATTATTATTACTACTACTACTACTACTACTACTATTATTATTACTACTACTACTACTACTACTACTACTACTATTATTACTACTACTACTACTACTACTACTATTACTACTACTACTACTCCTACTACAACTACTACAACTACTACTACTATTATTATTATTACTACTATTATTACTACTACTACTACTACTACTACTACTACTATTACTACTACTACTACTCCTACTACTACTACTACTACTACTATTACTACTACTACTACTCCTACTACTACTACTACTACTACTATTACTACTACTACTACTCCTACTACTACTACTACTACTACTATTACTACTACTACTACTCCTACTACTACTACTTCTACTACTACTACTATTATTATTATTATTATTATTATTATTATTATTTGTTATATACGGGTCCCTTAGGCCGGTCGTAGCAACGTAAACGATGCGGAGGAAGAGTATGAAACGTATAGAAATAGAATGGAAAAGAGAGATACAAAATTACGACGAAAACGAACAAAAGAAAGCATAAATTAATCAATGTACGTGTGTACGGTACAGATAATGTTTTCTATAGAATGGCTCCTAACGATGCTTCGCGCGATTATCCGGGAGGGGAGAACGTCTCGATCGCGAGATCCTTGCAACGAGCATATCGATCGGCGTGTATACGTGTTCTCTCGCATTCGTCGTGGAAACGTTTAAATATAGACTTTATTCGCCGACACGTCGAGAGGTGTTCGACGAGAAAAGAACAATAATAGAATCGGTTTGGCCGAACGATAACGCGACCCGATAACGGAAGAACGAAACGAAGCAGAGATAAGCTCGGCTTCGTCTAATTGATACGACGGATCGAATGCGTACACGATCGCGGAGAGCCGTTTTCTCGCGAGCAAAGGTATCGCGGATGGCGGAACCGGATCGGAGCTTACCAGCTAGATAGTCGGACAGATAGCGCGAAAGCACGTTCGCTCGCGATAGTAACGCGCGATTCCTCGAGATCGGTCGATCGGGAGTACGTATTTGTCCGAGCCCGAGTCCGAGATTCGAATCCGCGTCGAAAATAGACAAACGCGCGATTACATGGACGTAGAGAAATGGCACAACTCACCACCGTACCCGTAGCCCACGTGGTCCCGCAACGCCTCTGGATAATCTCCGATCTCTGTGTTCTCGACATCAAACGTGCCGTACGCAAAGTTTGGATGCTTCTTGATAAATTCTACCATGGATTTCATCATCAACTGACAAGTGTGCCTCCCGGCAACTCGACTCTGTCCGTTCGTTGTATAAACCAGATGCACCTTTCGCCACTCGTATCTACCGGCAGAACATCACGAAGACAGTGTCGGACCAGTTTGGTTTCGGCGGGATAGAAAACGACAACGCGATAGGGGATGATGACATTGGGGC